CCGAATCTCCATGGGGAGATCGTTCCAGAGGGCCGGAGCAGCCACAGAGAAGGCTCTCCTCCGGGTGGTCGACAGTCGACACTGGCTAGTTGATGGAACCCGGAGGAGCCCTAATCTGTGGGATCTAATTGGTCACAGGGAGGTAATTGGCAGGAGGCGGTCTCTCAAGTACCCAGGTCCGATAGAGGACCTTTTCCTGTTTATATTTTACAGGGAACTCCATAAGAAAATAATTTATTTCTGCCATAATAGTGTGGACCCAATTATTGAGCAGAGTATGTAGCTATTAGAACCTCAAGGTGATTCATGGTGGGCTGATGCTGCCCAGAATGCATTTTATCACTTGGTGAGTTTTTTGTGAGCTCTCCAGAGAACGGTGGCTGTGGCTGGTCAACATTTAACACCGCAAATAAATGGGGACACTTGCCGTGTGGTATTGCCACTGATACTTCCTGCGACCATTCACTCCAATAGCCATCATAGCTGACTCCATTCGGCTTGGCCCGGACAGCCAGAGTGTAGTGAGCGCCCCCTTTGAGATTCAGGAGGTAATATGTCTGCCCACTGGTACTTTCCACCTGGGGAGAAGAGGAGGAGGATAAAGGCTGAGTAAGGAGGGGGGAAACAAAGCGGGGGAAAGGGGGTGTTATTAGAGTTAAGAAACAAAACGCCAGAGACTTACCCGTTGCGGTCTGTAGCCCTCAGGGGAGACGGACACTTCATAGCGGATACTGCTTTCCATATATGCAATGGGGGGAGATTGCCAGCTCACATTCAGCTGCCCAGAGGACTCCATAAGCTGCACTGTCAGGTTGGAGGGGGGGTCCAGGAACACTTGGGACAAAGGAAGAAGAGGGTGAGGAAAGGCATGCAAGCTTCATTTCTCCTCTCCCACCAGGCAGTGGCCCTCCAGCTCCTATTTTCCATCTAGCACAGACCACAATTTCCAGGTGCATTTCCTCAAGGAATGCCACTCTAGCATCCTTCCCTAAAACAGATGTGCTGTTTAGGATAATTATGGGAAGCTCAGGTCACCTTCATGGGTCACCTTGTCAGGCTGGACATCGGTGTCTTGTGGCCAAAACATAACAAAACAAACCCATACCTAAGCCAATAGTTTAGTGTGTGATGCAGGAAATTAATCGACTGTATTGAGCCTGGAGTTTTTTCCCCACCAGAGAGTGTTGGTTCATTTAATAACTACCTGACGTATGAATATGCAATCACTGAACCTTTTCTTGATACGGGGACAACAGATGGGAAAGTTTGGGTTTTCCTGGTTATACAATAGGGCAGTGGTTCCCAAACTTGGCAACTTTAAGACTTGTGGACTTCAACTCTCAGAATTCTCCAGCCAGCTCTGCTGGCTGGAGAATTCTGGGA